TTGCTGGCTTCATTGCCGAAACGACACTGAGTTCAACTGATTTCCGAATGACTTTTAGCCTTGATCACAAAGTACATTTTAGACCGCTCATGATGTACAAGACTACTGTTTAGACCAGTAAGACATGCAATCTAGACTGGAAAGACCAGTATGCCCCCTATTGACGAACAAGAAAAAGCTGACCGTTGTGTTTCCATTGAGTAAAATGAAAGCCGGCTTTAAACTAGCTTTCATATGGCCCCCTGAACGCAAACGAGAGGTTTATGGTTCTTGAACCGTTACGGTTCGGCAATTTGCCCCGTGGAAACACATGAAAGCTAGATTAAAGTCAGCTTTTTCTCTCAGTGGAAACAGCTATTGTTCACTTTCATACTAGCAGTTATAATTCATTCTAGAAACCTATCTATCATATTTCTTAATTAAACTTGCTAGATAATAGAAAACACTGCACAATCACAATAATAATAATCAAGGTTGTCTATTCTGGCTGGATAAGTCAAATTTAATTACCAGTATTGAAAGTTGGTATAAATATCGACTTTATTGCAACAAAAAATTTAAGGGACATTCCTCTTTGTTTGTAGGTAGAAAAAATTTGTTGCTCAAATTTGTGAAAACTACACATTAAAATCTTAAGAAATGTGTTGTTTAATATATCTGAAAGTTTAAGCTATAAAAAACCAGCCATGAATTTTTTTAACGTAAACTAAGCAGGTTTCAAAATTTCTTAGTTTAATGAATTATCACTTAGTTTTATTAGATTATAGAGAGATTCTGTTGACACCAGGTAAGTCCACTGATGAACAAAGACTCAAGATGGCCAAGTTTAAAATTTCAATTTTTTGGTCATCCTAAGAGATATAAGAATTTTTTTTAACATAAAACTTGAGTAATCTTCATTACTCAAAGCTTTCTAAAACAAGATTTTTCAAAATTATGCAACAACATCTTAAAGTTGCACTAAGACACAAGCTATTCATTAAACAACTGTAATATAACAGCAATTTAATATTTTCACAGCTGGTGAGACTATAACTTAATTCTGCAAATAATAACTCTGCACTAACAAAAACTGAATAATTGCACTGATTATTCTCAAATGTGTAGGTCTAACAGGAAATGCAGATTTAAGTATATGGTTACAATTTCAACATTGCAAAATGAGAGAATTTCTTCTTATTTTTGGTCTAGAAATATCTACTTTGTATCTTAAAGATGGGTTCCCTTATATTCATTTATGAAAATGAAAAGGCTAATACTTATATTCATGAATAGAAAGTAGAGGTGTTCTAATGACTTGGAAAAATACCAGTTTGTCTCACATATCCATAATTAATTCATAATTAGCTAAATTAGAAGAGAATTACCAACAAGTGACAGATTGAGAAAGGTCAAAAAGTCTTTTTTGTTTATCCAGACTGTACATTCATGGACATATGTGAATGGTTAAAATTATATGCAATAAGATAATAATATGATTAAGAATACACAGTAATTCATTAGAAACACCAATTAATCAAATAGTTTGCTTAATTTGACACTAAAAAAATAAGGAAAGCCATCTTTAAAGTCAAAAATTTGTATCTAAGGTCGTTTACAATTTGATATACAAGTTGACAGAGCTCAAATTGTAAATGAAACCATTGTCATATTCCATTGTGAAAAGTGATTATGATAGTATCAGTTAGGAAATATTAATTGACTATAGAGCTTGTTGTATGCTGGCAAAACATGTTTTGGATACACAATCCTAGCCAGGACAGCTTTATTAAGAATAGAAGTTAACTTTTTGGACTTTGGGTATATGAGTAAGCAAGTCTTAGTAAATGCAGTGAAAAGCTTAAACAGTACAACATAGACCCTTTATTTGTAATTTATTGACTGCAACTCATGTGCTGCCAACACCATTCCAATTTTCAATCAGATGTCTGTGGTTCCTGTAATTCCACTTTAAACCTAAGAGTTTGATGACATCACTTATTGCAAAGGATCTTATGTGATAAAGCATATTTAGAGATATATATATGATGTTATCAAACACTCAGTCAAAGTGTAATTGCAGGAACCACAGACATCTGATTGAAAATTGACATGGTGCAAAAAAGAAAATAAAAAAAGATGGCTATGAAAGTCTTGAATGTTGTAGTGCATGATATAAAATCAAATTAAAATCAGAGTTAAAATTGATGTGTTTAAGTTAAAAAAAAATTTAAAAAATTCTTCACAACTTGAAATGTCAATCAGTAAGGTTAAATAAGTTGTGATCAATACAGACATTAATAAAAAAAACTTGAAGTCTCCATGGTTTTCACTCTTCTTGTAGTTCGATCAAATGTTTCAAAACATCACAAAATTCTAGTCCTAGTTTATTCTAGTTTTAGGGCATGGCTTGCCATTTTTCAGGGTTAATTTGGGTCTTGAATACATCTGAATATATAGCTTCAGAAGTAATAGAAATGTACGAAAATCGCATTATTCCTTCAAAAATACCTCAAGCCTTTTAATTTCTCTAATGTCCTTTCTAAAAAAATATAAGTCTGCATTTCAAACACAGATAATTCTAGACACACATGAATTTAAAGGTTCAAATTTCGATGGTGGGTTGTGATCACTATTACTGATTGGCTAAGTAAAAACAATTCCCTTTTCTTTCCAGACCAGTCTTTACAGATTTCAATTTATGATGAAAAATTTGATTAGTAATTCGTCTGACCAAAGTTCAGTTTTGGCTTATCAAGTTAAATTTTCATTTAAAATACAGAAAAATTTGGGTAGCATTTCAAAATGTTCCAGTAGTAGACATCAGATCAATCTTGTCAATGTCAACAAAGTTAGTTCCTTAAGGTTAGAGAGACTGTGAAGAGTTGCACAGGTATATTTCTAGATTTGGCAGAAAAATATAAAATTTGATTTCTGATTGTTGTGATAAATTTTTAATTTCTTACTGCAACAATGCCAAAATTTAACAAAATAATCTGGAATCAAATCAAATTTATCACCACAAAAGGAAATTAATTAAACCAAAAGGAATATTTTCATGATCAAAAATGTGAAAATTTAACTCCAAAGAAGGCAAAAAAGAGAAATGTCCAGGCTTCCTATGTATATAGAGAATATATATGAAAGACTTCACTCAATTGATAATGTTAGCAAGGCTGAGTAAAGCTTTTTACTAAACAATAGTGATAAAGACGTATTTAATATGAAATAAATGTCAGCAGACAATGAACCTATATAGAATAATGGACTGATATCAGCCTACAGTATTTCTATTTCATCTTTTATCCAGGATTTTGATACCCAAGATAAACAGAATAAGATTCTGCTATTTGACAAAAATATGCTTGAGATCCATTAATACCAGTCTTGAAAACATCCTTATCTTACTCCTTACAGATTACTGTTATCTCTAATAGGACACTGAACTGATGATTACTAACACTGTTCTTAGACGATGACAGAAAAACAAATTGAAATAGATTGGCACGAGTGATGTTAGCAACCTTATTTGTGTCACTGGCGTGTTGTTTAGGTCACATTATTTGTTCAATCAAGTAATAAAAGCTTACATGAAGTTTCCAAAAGATTAGAACTGTCTTCCCATTTTATGTGTAGCATGTACATCCCCTTTACATTATAAAAAGTAACTGTTCTCAGAAAAGATGAAAAATTAGTAACTAACTCTGGGAAAAAGGCAAGACCCATACGCAAGAACTGTTCCGAGACCACCTCGACTCAATAGTCTTGACTTGGAGCAGTTTTCAGAATGTTCCACTGTTTACACTATAAAACTTTGTAGTGTAAAATGCTATCCGTTCCAAGAACAGTTCATGTGCATGGGTCTCACTCGACCTCCTCCCACAGTGTCTGTGAACAGATGTAATGGCTGCCAGATGGATTGTTTTTGTCTCCATCTGGGCTTCAAGGAACGCTTTTAATTACCTCTTTTGTGAAGAGTTCGAATAAAGTGTGTCTGAGAACAGCAGATCATTCACACTACTATTATAGAGCTGTTCATGAAACGCTTTTAATTGTGGTACAATAGCGTCTAGGTCTAGACCAAGAACAGAGCATTCCATAGCCTCCTAATGAAAACAGAGCTCTTGATAATTGAATAAAAGTGCACAGACGCCAGACACAGTTTTGAAAAAATCACTGATATAGTAGACGTCTGTAAAATAGACATTAACCCTCTGTGTTATATAACATTCTCCATTGTCTGTTTGACAGTGGGTATTATATAATCTAGAGAAGTGTATATTGAATACCTATATCAATAATTAATATTATGTGATAATAAACAATGTATTGTGTTATGTGGTCTATTATATATCACGTCCTGGTCACATAATACACACTTCATATCATTATTACTCCATTATAATCATTCATAGCACTGTTCCTGATGTTTACTAGCACCAAATGAAACTCAGTAAATCATTATATTGATGATATCTAATATCATGTCCATATATCAAAGAACCAGCATCTGTTAAAGGCTTATTATTTTGACTTGGATGAAAAATCACCTAACCAAAAATTAGTAAAGGCACTAAAATGCTTTTTTTTACCTCTAGTACAAATAAGCTTATACATTTTTGATTTTTTTTTGCAGTAAAGATATCAAATTTTGGTTAAGTTATGGTGGTTTTATAAGCTTATGACAAATATCGGGTTGAAGACCAGAATTTTTATATAGTCGCTTTAAGTAGATCAGCAATCCATTTGGATACAGCCATCATCTAAATAAATAGTTTAATGGTATTCTGCACCTTTAGGGCTAATAATGAAGACGGTTAACACCATGCAGGGTGCAATGAGGGAAATTTTTCAAGGACAGCAGCATTAGCCTGCTATTTTTCGATTTCCAACTGTCGTGAGATCTTTAACGTGCACAGTCTGTAGCACACAGGGGCTCCGTTTATTGTCCCATCTGAACGACTAGATGCTATTTCCAATTCAATAGGCACTGTAAAAATAAGTAGTACTAGTATACTTACAAGAGCCCAGAGTGTACCAGGAGTGTTGGCTACTATAGTTGCTGCTCGGGGCATGTTGTACATCAACGCTAACTCACCAAAACTACCTTTATTATCATAGTTTCCTACCAACGTTGATTTACCATCTATTAAAACATAGATATCATATTTACCACTGAAAATAGAAATATAACATGATCAAATATGAGCTTACATCATATCCTAATGGAAATCTTCAATTCTTAAAGAATTGTAAAGAGGTTTTCTACAAAAAATTTCTGTATTGGGGACACTGATAGCATCAATTTGGAACATTCCAATTTTCAATCAGACGTCTGTGGTTCCACTAAAATTTAGTGTTTGATGATGTCACTAATTTTAAAATATCTTTATAACCTTAGTTTTAGTGGAATTTCAGGAACAACAGATTTCTGATTGGAAATTGGAATGGTGCAAATTGATCCTATCAGTGTTACTGATACACATACAAAATTTAGAAAACCTCTTTACAATTCCTTTTTATAATCAATTTGTGAAAATTATTATGATTACTTTTGATGAAATGACTTTGAATAGTGATGGCAATAGAGTTTTGAGGGACACAAATCATAGCTGCTAAGGTTTGATCAATTACGCTACAAAAACAAATTGGATCCTACGACTGCAGGCATATCAATTTTTATCATTTGACAGTTTACGGTGAAAAGGTTAAGGAGTTTAGAGACCAATATAATCGAAGGAGATATTTATACGGATTAAAAACCACGATTATTTACACATCAAGGCACAGACTGGAAACTTGAGGCTTAAAGGAAATGGCTGGATACTGACCTCAGCCTTGAGGGACATCAATTATTTCTATAATTAGACAGTCAGACAATATTCCAATTTAACATTCATCAATTCATAATAACAAAGTTAAAGGTCACAAGCAAGCCAGGTTGATTTGGTTGTATGGTTTTTTTTTATATATTTTTATCTTTAAAGGTATACTACCTCTTAGAATGAACAAATAAGGTAGTATTCCTTTAATATAGTATTCCTGTTTAATCATCTGATTGTCATTAGGATTTTTGTTTCATTAAAGAATATCCAAAAAGGAATTGAAGTTTTTGTCCTATTTTACTGCACATATATGGATTCAGACTAATGAATTTGTATGGATTATCAATATTGAATAATGTGATTGTTCTGCTGTATAGAATCTCTTCCTCATTCAATAACAACTACCTGTTTTTTAATTCTGAAATTTAGTTTTAAGGGAATGTAAAGAAGTAAAGAACTTTATGTGTATTAGGGACGTTAATAGTTATTCCTTCGCCAAAAAAACCACAAGATTCCATATTTTCTTTAAATAGATCGAGAAAGCATTTTCCAGAGTGATAAAAAAAAACCACGGATCTGATCTAATCAGTTTAAAGGAAGAAAGAATCATTTCATTACACAACTTCAAAATATTTCTGAAGGAAAAATAATTCAGGCCATTTTTTTGAGGTAATTAGTGGAAGAGATTAGTTTTTAATGAAGCAGAAAGGATGAGATTTTTATTGTGTTGATTGTACATCATTAGCCTAGATTGATAGTACTTCTATATTCAGCCTAATCAGATTTAATTTACCAGAATGTAAGCTTACTGCAAGGATAAAATGTTTTATACAGAAAAACAAAGCTTAAATACACAATATCTTGCATATACCGGACCGGTATATATTTGTAATTACTGGTTATTGTCGGTTAGAACACATCTCTCAACACAAACTGTGATGCTGCTCTTATTTATGTCTGTTTTGCCATGGTCTAAAAACATCAAAAATGGAACATTAGCTGTAGGTCATGCTTTTGTCTTAATGTTGATCAAACATAGAGTAAGCAGGTCACTACATTTGGGAACATAACCTACAGCTAACCTTTTGTTCAATCTTTTTAAGCTAAAGCCACTGAAAGCAGATTATTTCTTTTGAACATAACTTATAGCAAAACAGACAGCAGAATACCTCTTCTGAACATAACTTAGAGCCAAACAGACTGCCTCCTTTGAACATAACTTAGAGCCAAATACACTGCCTCCTTTTAACATAACTTAGTGCCAAACAGACTCCAGACCACTTCTTCTGAAATAACTTAGAGTCAAATAGATTGCCTCCTTTTAACATAACTTAGTGCCAAACAGACTGCAGACTACTTCTTCTGAACATAACTTAGAGCCAAATAGATTGCCTCCTTTTAACATAACTTAGTGCCAAACAGACTGCAGACTAGTTACCTCTTTTGAATTACAACCTAAGGTGTATGTCCTTGTCTATATTTATAATTCGCTGTACTGCAAGTAATCATCAGGAGTAAAAAGAAAAAATTTGTTAAATGAGATTAGAGATTAGCAGTAATCTGATTAATAGCTCTTTGAAGTTGACTAATCATAATGGGTCACTGCTTGATGGTCGTTTGATCAGCTTAATCATTTGACAAGGTTTTCTAGCTTACGTTTGCACAATTAATTTCCTGTCCAAACCACATTCAATTTGAAACTTTTTTTTGATTCGTGTGTAGGAAGGAAAGCTAAGTATTTTTAAATAGTGGCCTAATGACATTTTTAGATTGTGCAATAATAACTAACAATCTTCAACATGGAAGACATTAAGTTGAATTTGATGAGAAAAACATGAAATGTGAAAAAACGTGAATGAAACAGTTCTTGTATTAACCAATCAATACTCTCTTACAGTTCTGTTTTTACCCTTACTCTACATCTTGATGAGCAGTCAAATAATAGAACACATCCGGAAAATACATTGAATAACAAGTTTTACATGTATGTGGTATTGAAACCTTCCCAAATGTCATCATGTAGCAAAGTTATTCATAGCACAGAAAACATTCAGGATAAAAAATTCATGATGTTAGTTTTCTTGTAAATTTTCTTTAGTGTTCAGTGAAGTGATGCTTTGAGCACAGGATTGTTGATTGGGTTGTATCGACAGTCATGTTAATCTGACGCTCCATTACCCAATATTGTCATCCTGTGTAAAAAAAAAAAGTTGAAAGATAGGTGTAGGTGAATTTTTGCTTGGCCACCATTTTGAAATCCAATATGGCTGCCAAAAATGATTTATGGAGTTTTTAGCCATTGAAAAGCGTAAAAAAGCTTATATGTCTTAATCTTAGATACATATCCTGAAATACTGAAACTTGTGTGTGCCGGATAACGCCTTGTCCAAATTTTTTCATTAAGTTGTGATTTCAGCATTGTAGTGTTAGGAAAGAATGTGTTCTGGCAACCAAACAGTTTTTCAATTTTTTTTACTAACTAGTATATATGTACATGTCCTGACAGTGAATATGAATATTTGATGCATAACTACATGACTTCCAAACAGATTTAGCTTATAAAGAAGTATTCTGCTTGTTGTAAAAAGTTTTCATTATCAAAAACTTAAAACTATACCTGAAAATATTTCTAAAGTATGCTATTTATATCTATGGATCTACTTAATCAAACTGAATTTGTTTTAAAAAAGGATTAATTAAAAACGGAGAGTACTAATTGTTAATTAAGCAGTTTGATCTTGTTTTGGTGTTTGGCATTATAATGGCTTGTTACGTTTAGTTGAAATCTTTCGAAAATAGGAGACATATTTCTCTACAATTGGGCGTTAATTTTACTCAAATCCATATGTATACAGTTGTTACCTAACAGCTTCCAAAAATCATAACGAACTTAAAAAGTTCTATTAGTTTTGGCATTTAAATTGTAACGGCTGTATTTTTTAAGTTAAATCTTTCAGATACGTAAAAGGGCCCATTTATCTTGATTTTGGTTTATAGTTTTCACAAATTTGAGCAAAAAAAAAAGCAGAATGTCTCTTGAAGTTTAAACACAGAATACAGGTCACAAATCCATTTCTAATAAATATATCACAGTTTAAATGAGATATATAAATATTATAACACACATCTGGCAGATTGGCAGTTATTACTTTCAAAAAATAAAATAATACATTCATTAAATATAATATAGTGTGAAATATGTGTCTTGATAATATTTCAACAGTTGATGTAACATTTCAACACTCGGATGTAGTTAAAGCTTTAACATCCAGTCTTATGTTTTAAAACCAATTTGTATCACTTCAATTTATCAGACTTAACAACTCAATCCTTCACCTTCATTCATTTCAAGTCACAAACCAAAATTTAAAATTCTCAAGCTATAACAGTGCAAGAATTAAATGGTGCATTCTAAATAAATACTATGCTATTGACAATAGCCCTTTTTACATTACCAATACCCAGTTTACATAATTACCCAGTTTACATAATTACCCAGTTTACAATACCCAGTTTACATTTATTACCATTCTCAGTCTAGACCTGGATACGATAAAATCACAAAATTTTTACTGTTTACACTACTACAATTTCGAGCGTTCCGAGAACAGTTAGATATAATTAGTGTCAACGATCTGCTGTTTTCAAACCCAATTTAATGGAACTCTTCAAGCAAGAGTTAATTATAGACGTTCAAATCACCCGGATGAAAACAAATTCTTTTGCTCACAGAGACTGTAGGGTCAAGACGTATGCATAACAACTGTGATTAAAACAGATATCATTTACACAACGAAATATTAACTGTTCTGTTTTGAAAACCGTTCTGAGACCACCTAGTCTCAAATTGGAACAGTTCTCAGAACACTCTATCGTTTACCTAGTTTTCATCCGTTCCGTTCTCAGAACTGTGTATTTAATATTGACAGCTATTAAGTCTTCAATTTTAATCTGAATTAAATATCAATTTAAAGGTCAATGTATCAATATAGAGCTTTGAAACAGGTATTAGTTAGTACAATAAAGTTTTCACTTTTTGAGAAACCCCAAAGTTTGTAGTGTTTATGAGATAGATGATAATATTTTGTACAATGAACATGTAAGCCTTCCTTATATCAAGATGATCAGAAACCTCTTAACAAACCCTTTAATCTGATAAAAACACTGTGGAGTAAAATACCATAATGACAGGGCATTATTAATACTTCTCTTGTCAGATTTGACGAGGACAACCACCACCAGTCAGGTATAAAGATTAATCAAATGTCACCAACCAATCTTCTCTAAACCACACGAGGTACAGACATATAAAAAATCTAACGCAAATCTACATAGTTTGTGGTGAATTTAATCTGAATACTGGTTCCTTGAAAACTTAATTTAAGAGAATTTTAGTGCTAAATTTGACACTAAAAAATAAGGGAACCCATCTTTAACAAAGCTGACATACCCATCAAATAAGCTTATATAATGTTTGGAACTTAAATATAACATAATTGGAAGAACCTATCAAAAGTGTGCTGCCATGCCTGTAATTCATTAGGCAGAATTAGTCTACTAAATTGTTGAGTGAAATTTTACTTAGTCTTGTAATTTTCCTAAAAGTTTGCAAATGTACAAATTTGTACTATTATTTCTGAACTTCTGATAACCTAGAAATTGTACAACAGAAGATCACCCTTGGGAAATATTAGTTCGTGCAAGATGCTCCATTGCAGCGTGAAATGTCAAAGAGCAGCGTAATATTTTATAAGTTGGCATTTGTACAATTTAATCAGATTAGTCTGTGGTTGTACGATAATTTAACTTCTAATAAGCCAGCAATCATACAACAGAAGATCACCCTTGGGATCACAATAGTTGTGTGATGCAAGATGCTGAATAGCGATTTTAATAATATTGATAAATAAGCTCATCCATACTTTAATTGCTCCTTTTGAAATGTTTCAAAGTTTTTTAATATTTTTAATGTTTGCAAATGTACAATTTAATCAGATTACTCTGTGGTTGCACTATAATTTCTGAAATTCTAATAAGAAAGGAATTGGACAACAGAAGATCACCCTTAGGAAAATATTAGTCGTGCAAGATGCTCCATAGCACTTTTAAGCACATCTAGTAAATGGCAGCATGAAATGTCAGTCTTGTGATATTTCTGTAAGTTGGCAAATGTGTACAATTTAAGAAGATCACTCCAAATGTGGTTTCTTATCCCATTGTTTAGATAATTTTTTTAACTTCCGATAAGCAAGCAACTGTATAACAGAAGATCACCCACGGGAAATATCGGATGTGTGATGCAAGATGTTCCATAATGATTTAAAGTAGAGTACATCTACCATTCCAATTTTCAATCAGACGTCTGTGGTTCCTGCAATTCCACTTAAACTATATGTTTTAAGACATCACTAATGCAAAGGTCCTTAACCAATAGCAGCTTTCGAGATAACAACGACAAAAACCCTTAGTTTTAGAGGGATTGCAAGAATCACAGACTTCTGATTGAAAATTTGAATGGTGCAAATGGATGCTATCAGTGTCCCCGATACACATACAAAATTTAGAAAACAGAGGTTGGTTTGACATTTTTTTCATTTAGAATATATCAATATCTGGAACATTCTTACATTTTATCTCTCCCTTTACAATCCAAGAGTAATAAAACCTAATGTGCGTATGAAGTCTCAATGGACAATTATTGGCTAAAATTACTTCTGACATTTTTACTATTCACAGACTGCTTGATTGAAATCTAAGTGGTCATTAGATCCACTACTGTATAGAGAATTGTCAGCCGAAGAAAAGACATGGATGAAAGTTTACTTTCAATTTGTTTTATATTTAATGCCTGTCTTTCCAATACTTTAAAGGGAATAGTTCTTAAAAGTGAAATGGTTAAAGAGATTGTAAAGTGAATTTCTAAATTTTTTATGCTTATGACACTGATAGCATCAATTTGCAGCATTCCAATTTTAAATCTGACGTCTGTGGCTCCTGCAATTCCACTAAAACGAAGTGTTTTATATTGTACCAGATAAAGGAAAAGTTTTATATTGTACCAGATAAAGGAAATGTTTTATATTGTACCAGATAAGGGAAAAGTTTTATATTGTACCAGATAAGGGAAGAGTTTTATATTGTACCAGATAAGGGAAAAGTTTTATATTGTACCAGATAAAGGAAGAGTTTTATATTGTACCAGATAAAGGAAAAGTTTTATATTGTACCAGATAAGGGAAGATTTTTATATTGTACCAGATAAAGGAAAAGTTTTATATTGTACCAGATAAAGGAAAAGTTTTATATTGTATCAGATAAGGGAAGAGTTTTAAAAAGTTTTATATTGTACCAGATAAGGGAAAAGTTTTATATTGTACCAGATAAGGGAAAAGTTTTATATTGTACCAGATAAGGGAAGAGTTTTATATTGTACCAGATAAAGGAAAAGTTTTATATTGTACCAGATAAAGGAAAAGTTTTATATTGTACCAGATAAGGGAAAAGTTTTATATTGTACCAGATAAGGGAAAAGTTTTACATCGTACCAGATAAGGGAAGAGTGTTATATTGTACCAGATAAGGGAAGAGTTTTATATTGTACCAGATAAAGGAAAAGTTTTATATTGTACCAGATAAGGGAAGAGTTTTATATTGTACCAGATAAAGGAAAAGTTTTAAATTGTACCTGATAAGGGAAAAGTTTTATATCGTACCAGATAAGGGAAGAGTTTTATATTGTACCAGATAAAGGAAAAGTTGTATATTGTACCAGATAAAGGAAAAGTTTTATATTGTACCAGATAAGGGAAAAGTTTTATATTGTACCAGATAAGGGAAGAGTTTTATATTGTACCAGATAAAGGAAAAGTTTTATATTGTACAAGATAAGGGAAAAGTTTTATATTGTACCAGATAAGGGAAGAGTTTTATATTGTACCAGATAAAGGAAAAGTTTTATATTGTACCAGATAAGGGAAAAGTTTTATATTGTACCAGAATGTTGAATCACTTAACAAAGTTTACAAGCTATAAACTTCGGGTAAGCAAGTATGACTTGCGAGAACTTTAACTATCTATTTAATGAAAACATTCTTTTGTTTTTTGTACAGACAAATTGTTTCCACCAAATTTAAAACCCGTTTCTCAAAACATCTCATTATCACAATTAATCAGATAGTGAAATAAATTCTAGTGTAAAAGTTTACACCTGCAAAAATTATAAGATACTGCGTACAATATAAATTTATATTGTTAGTAATATTGCCTCATTTATTATATATATACTGAAATAAGTAAAAATATGATCATATCATGAATGATAATTATCATGCTGTTAAACATCATATTTTTGTACAGATAAGATCATTAAAGCTTACACAATTTCAATAAATAACTTTAATATTTGATATATTTTATAGATGTGATTTTCATGTTAAAATCTGGGCTTTAGATATATTGACAATTTGTCTTTAATTGAAAAATTTATTAGCCTTTTGCCTTTAAAATCCAGTAAAAAATTTGTTTTAAGAAATATCACAATGTCCACATAACCTAGAGGTTCCCAACCTTTTTATAGGTAGTGACCCATTCCAGAAACCAGCTTCAGATTTCAACCCATTCAAGAAATCGGCCTCAGATTTCAACCCATTCCAGAAACCGGCCTCAGATTTCAAACCATTCCAGAAACCAGCCTCAGATTTCAACCATTCCAGAAACCAGCCTCAGATTTCAACCCATTCCAGAAACCGGCATCAGACTTCAACCCATTCCAGAAACTGGCATCAGATTTCAACCCATTCCAGAAACTGGTATCAGATTTCAACCCATTCCAGAAACCAGCATCAGATTTCAACCCATTCCAGAAACCGGCATCAGATTTCAACCCATTCCAGAAATTGGCATCAGATTTCAACCCATTCCAGAAATTGGCATCAGATTTCAACCCATACCAGAAACCGGCATCAGATTTCAACCCATTCCAGAAACCGGCATCAAATTTTTAACAACCCATTGCAGAAACCCATTCCACTCCGAAAATTCCAAAAAATCCAGAAGGGATTTACAATCCCTATAATATAGTTGGATAAGCTTAGAGATAAAAGCTCTCTGGATTTTATGTTTGTCTGTACACCTTCACTGAACCACCACAACATCCCCAATAAAATCAATTCATATTAACATGGATCATGGAATAAACATATTACTCCAAAAGACAGTTCTATTAGAGTGAGCGGATATGAAATTCAGTTAGCTATTATCAAAGTTTTCTTTAAAACACAACTGGGATTAAATCTACAATATTTCTATCTGATTTATTTTTCAGCTTGTAACTCTGTTTTTAATCAAAGTTCGAATGTTCTTATAGAAATATTTTCAGTATTTCTTACAGTACAAGTTAGAAATCGAAAACCATGAATTCTCGTTCCAACTAATCTAAGATCTATTTTAAGCTGTTGAATATAACAAATTTATACACTAATTGAAATGTCTGAAAATTGCACGACATGAAAGCTCGAATAAACAACAAAATCAGTGTTTTTAACAGGACTTTCTAGCAATCGAACTGATAAATGAGTGAACTGGAAGTTTTATGTGTTTTATTTTTAACGTACTTTCAATTTAAATGATGGTTTTGATCTTTGTGATATTATTGTTTTGAAAGGAACAAAATCATATACAACCTCCTCTCAATACATAATAGAAAATTTTATTGTCTAAAAATTGACAAAGTGATTAAGGTTCTATAGCTCAGTCAGAAAATTGGTTCTTTACATGATGTCATTTGATTGGTTAAATCCAACAGATGGTAGTTGTGGGTTCTGATCTTGATCAGCATGTGAAAGTCTAATGACCTTGAATGATTCATATTCACTCATAATTCCAGTCGAACCAGCTGTAAATGGGTACGGAAAATATGGGACAGATTAATGCCGAGAGGTTTGGCAAAGGACCAGCTGAAAGAATTGATCCTTAACTGTGAACCTAAGTTGTTATCCTTGTAAAATATAGTTGTTTCGCGCTTAATGTAACAGACTGCCTGTGTCTTTTGAATGGAATAATAGTTCCTAGCACTTGTTCATTGTATATCATGGACACCCAGGTGAAATATGAATTCAAGACTTACCTGTCTATAACGTAGAAATTATCTCCATCATCACCTTGATCTATGATATGTTCATTAGGTTCAGCCTATAAATAGATTGATATCAAACTTTCAGTGCTAGTACAGCTAAGTAAAGGGTGGCCCACCCATTGATCTGGCTTTATTTGCCGATCATAACCGACAGGGCAACTGAAATGACCAATGGTCAATATCCTCTACTGAAAATCAGGCATTGGTCCTAGCACAGTACCAGTAGTGTCTTGTCACTCACAAAAACAAAATAAAACAATGGCCTATTGGGCAAAAAAATGAAGCAGCAACCCTTAGGGGTGGGGGTGGGGACAGTAAGGGGTAGGGGGTAGTTGACCTGAGAGGATATTTAGCCTTTTAGCTATGTCCATTAGATCAGTTTACTGAAAACCATTTTTTGCTGCTTCTTGGAATAATCAGCATAGATCACCAAAAAAAATTAACTCAAATTGTTTTTTTGGTAATGGACATCGATAAGTTTATTTGAAATATTGGATGGCTCAGAAAGAATGATTAACTTCTGTTCATTTTACGATAACATTAATAATTTTATGACAAGAAATTTTAAGATTGTTGTTTAACTTTTAAGCAGTTATTGGGTGATAATATGTCATTATATTATTTTTAAGCTAAAAAATATGATTATGAGGTCCGTATAATGAGAATGTTGTTACATATGGATGTATTACTTGCTAGTAATCTAACAAACCACATATAGAAGGATATTACAAATTATCCCAAAAAGATCTTTAAAAAATTCCCCCAAAAATGAAACATTTTGTTGTTTTTGTCATTCACGTTGCATAACAGATACAGGTATATTTTATGGCATTCTTTAGATATACAATGAAAAGATGAACAACATTGGTTTTTCAAATTTTGGCAAGTTATTCATTTTAAGTCTTTGTTTTGTTATGAAATTGTTGTTAAAATCTCAATTTGATTACTAGGAAATGATATTAAGATATGACAGAAAATTGTTGAAAAAAATATCATCAAGTGTAAAATAGTGATAGATAGAAACAAAGTATCTGAAGATGTAGGAAGATTTTGTATTAATATTACCATATCAACATTCATAGAAACAATGCATTTTTTAGCAATATTAGTTTTATCATGTCCTGTCCAGGTGTAGCTGGAATTGCCCCAATGTATATTTGATACAGAAAATACTGAAATTAAAAGTGCTTTGATTTCTTTTCTGGACCACCAGATATTTATTGCTCAATGGGATCGATATAAGGAAGGCCTTGTCACCTAATAAGCTTACACAAGTTTAGGATTAACTTCACAACTTCTACACGAACGATATAACAAATTACCCAGCAATTCCTGCCACAATAATTGATGTCTTCTATTAAATTGAAGGAGGAAAGAAGAGGAAAGTTATTTATTCTGAATGTTCATTAGGTTCCTGTCTGGAATCCTGACAGTGACATTCATTTCACAACCTTGCAGCATTTAATAGGATATTCATTATTCGGATATCTTCTGTAATATGTAGACTTAATGGAGCACTTTCACCATCCCTTTGACCAATCATACTTTAGTTTCAGAAACAGGAATTTTTTTAGCTTACATAATCAGTAATAGTGTTCACAGCGCATCGTCAAAATTTGTGCGTTCAAATCCATGTATCCAAAATTATTCACGTTTGAAAGTTAAAAATTCGACTCGAATTTTAGTGAGACCATGCCATATATAGAAAACACATATATATCAATAGACAGTGAAATTTCTAGTTTGAGGTATATTTGATGGGATTATGCGATTTTCATACGTTTCAGTACTTCTTAAGACTATTAAAGCACAATAAAGACCCAAATCAATCCCCGCAAATGCCGACTGTTCCTCTTTAAAGGGGTTGTGAAAAGGTTTTGAAAATCTTGCATGCATGTTAGTGATAGCGCTCATCAAATTGCACCATTTCAATAATCACATGTCTTTGGTTCCTTCAATTCCACAAAAAATAAAATTTAATGATGTAGCTATTATAAAGGGCCTTATAAATCAGGAAGATTTTGTGATAGTTGCGTCATAAAACACCTACTTTTAGTGGAATTGCAAGAACCACACACGTCTGATTGAAAATTGGAATGGTGCCAATCAATGCTTAGTTTTCCTGATACACATACGAAATTCACAAAAGCTCTTTAATACAATCACTTTAAAGATGTGTTGCCAGACTGAAACCAAGTCAGTTGAAATAAATTACTTGTTAAATTGACGCTTCTAATGCAAACCCATCTTTAATCTTTTTTCCGGCTGTCACACAATTCATAGTGACATCATAAAACACTTAGTTTTAGTGGAATTGCAAGAATCACAGACGTCAGAATGAAAATTAGAATGGTGCAAATTGATGCTATCAGTGTCCCAAATACATTAAAAAAGTTAAGAAAACCTTTTTACAATCCCTTTAATGTGAATGCATCATGTAAAGAGTCGATATTAAAGGGATATATAATATTAATATTTTTGTGCTTCAAATATCTGGCTTAATCTTCGAGATAAAGTCATTTACTTTTCAAGGCAGTTTGTTGTCTGGGTTCAGAAGCCAAATATGACATAATTAGCTAAGTCAGGGGCAATAACTCACAAAACTGTTCATCAAAAATCAGATTCTTTTAAGATCTAATCTGATCAAAAGAATATAGTCTAGTGTGTTCACAAGCAATATGTGAACAGACAGACGGCCAAACGGGCAATAACAATAAAAGTCAACATCCTATAATATAGATTGAAATTGTACTCAGACAATTCAAGATGTCTGACAAACAATTTTCATTTATAGTGTCTCTAAAAATATAACATAATCAGATTGAAAAGCTCATATTTCCTGGGATTAACTATATTTCTCTTCAATATCAGTCCAAACAACTGTCTGTTTCCAATCAGACTTGATAATATAAGTTAGTTATCATGAATTGAGGGATTAAATGATGGTAAAATTACATCCTGGTCTTAGATTCTCACCACAAACATAATTATATTTTCTGAAAATTTTATAAGTTTAATAACTGATTAAGAATATTAAAACAGAACCCGAAACATGTTGGAATTGAGAGTTTTCAGGCGAATCAAGGGCCTTTTATTTGAAAACTTTGAATTTTTAAAATTTTGTTTTATTACTGTATTTAATCTGATCACTGTTGCATAGAGTTTTCAATGTCAAACTTCAATTGATATTAAAGGGACGGCGGTGGTATTTTGAAGGGTTGATTTTAGTGTTGAATATTTGTAAATAGTCTTCAAAAGTACTAGGCACAAAAATCACATAATTCTTTTCAATATAAGAGATAGGAATTTTACTCACTAATTCTATTACGTCTTTTCTATAAATCACAGAGTATCTTAAATTAATGAGTCCTCATTTTAACATTCAATCGCAGATAATTCTGGACACACATGGATTTGAAGGCTAAAATTTGAACAGTGAGCAGTGAACACTATTACTGATTAGCTCAGCTAAAAAATGACAGTTTCTGAGACTAAAGTATGATTGGTCTACTTCAATCTACTCAATGTCAGCTCAATATAGATCTTTTACTTTTCAGAATATAAATTTGATATTTTCAAATCAATGTTCAGAATTTTTGAAATTTAGAATATCAACGCTTTGTGAATCAGTTATTCTCAATGGCAGATATCACTGAATAATTTGACATTTTAAAAAGCATCCTCAAGCTTTCATATAATAAATAAAACTTTTGGCATCCAACAACAAAGCTGACCTATTTGAATATACAGACCGAAGTCTGGGTTTGACATTAGTTGTTGTTGAGAGAAAATGAAGGGAAAATTAAAAAATCAATAAAAACCAACAATTCTGACAACATTATCTTTTTTTTTAACTGATTTTAATTCTGGTATTGTCAATGTAAATTTAGATTTTATCACCTCCATTACATGACTAGAGTTCAGTTATATAGAACATTGAACCATCTGAATATTTATCTTGAATTATCAGGCAACAGTTATATGAATTTTCCATTCCAGATAGTACCAGAGGAATTCTTGTCTGTCAATATTTTAACTGCCTTCACAGAGATCAGAATAATGCCGTCAAGTGGCACCATTAACGATATTTTTGATTGTTTTTTTGGACTTGCAGGCCTCATGGTTAAAAGAATTTGGAATGGTGCAAAATAAAGTTCCAATGCATCCAAAAATTTTTTTTATTTCCTGATTTTTTTTTTTGTTTTTTTTTAAACATTATGAATGGAGATTTACGTCCTACTATTACGTACCTAATTAGGCCAAAGAAGATGGGCTACACCATGCAGTGTGCAATAGGAGAAATTTGCTTGGACCATGGTATAAGCCTTCTCTTGTTTGATTACAAATTGTGTGGAGCTCGGTTTATTGGCTCATCCAAACGACTAGAAGTTTTTTCCATCTCAGTGCATGACTAAAGAGATTGTAAAGATGTTTTCTAAAAATTTTATGCGTATCAGGGACATTGATAACATCAATTTGCATTCCAATTTTCAATCAGACATCTGTGGTTCCTGCAATTCCACTATTAAAACCAGGCATAAGATGACATCACTAATCGCAAATGCCCTGCGAGATTAGTGACGTCATCTAACCCATAGTTTTAATGGAATTGAATCTGATTGAAAATTGGAATGATGCAAATTAATCTATCAGTGTCCCCGATATACATAAAAAAAATTAGAAAACCTCTTTATAATCCCTTTAAGGTAAATTTAAACTGCCCTAGGCTGAATCAGATTGATGATGTCAGTGGAGATAAGTCAAACTTATTGGTTTTATAATTATCTACTCCCTTTGAACACGCTCAATTTTAATTCAAACTTTCCCTTTCAAATACCAGCCATATTCCATCAAATGCTAAGCTTAACATATTCCTGTTCAAAGTGATGCCTCTAGCTAAATCACTAGCTTCCAACTTTTAAACTCATCTTCTAAAGATCAGAAAATAATCAGAAACTTACGTGTTTTTCAAACATGGCATCTAAAACTTCTTGCATTTGTTCCTGGAAATAGATTAAAAATAAACTTGAGAACTAGAAAAGATTGTTGAGGTTTAATTCTGTGGTTTAAGATGGTAAACAATTCTTGTTTTTTGTACTGTTGTGGCTGTTGGTAACAAGCCAGGCTTTGCCTACATTTGACAGTGTCTTGTCCATTTACTTCTTTGTGAATTCGTTTCATAGAGCTCATATATAAATTTTGTATTTCACTGCCATACCAGGTGATAAGCCTATTATGTTATGGTATGTCATGGTTGTTCTGTATAATATGTTCTGTGTTATGGTATGTCATTGTTGTACTGCATGTTCTATGTTATGGTATATTATCCTATTCTATATTGAGTGGTATGTTACTGTTGTACTGTTTTAGAATTGTATGGTATGTCATTGTAGTACCATTGATGTTGAATAACTGTTATTGTATTTATAAGGTTTTAGTGTGTTGTACCATAAGCTTATGCCATTGTCTTACCAAATGTTGCTTTTGGTATTGACTGATACAATAAAAGCATACTGTACAACAGTGATATATTAAACGTGCTTATAGCATGTTGTACAATGAGTTTCTAAATGTAAAATTTGTATAAGCTTATATATATGATATGATCAGACCTGCATGACAAAACAAAGTACAACAACATAGTATTGATATGTTATAGACGTTTTATATTTGGTATACAATTCAACAAGTCAACAACAAGCTGAGATGTCACCATAAAAAATTATTCAATACTTTTTCAATACTATATCAAGGACAAGTAACAAATTGAAGGTCAATCCAGCTTGAAATAAATCAGAAGTGTAATGTAAGATGAAGTTGATTGTAAAGAAAAGAGAAGGTTGGATGAGAAGAAATTGTGTAATTCAGTAGAAATGGTATTAAATAAGATTAGAGCTGACAGAGAACTGTTTGTAAGTTTTTACTAGGAATGGAGTTATCAGATACAACACTTCTACCAAACGTATTATCAAGGTTCATTACATCTTGTTCTATTGCTATTCCATTAATCAGGACACAGTGTGACACAAGTCAATATGCAGGTTTCTTGAACTCTTTTTTATGTTTCTTGTTGCCAACTTTGATGTTTCTCTTCATTTCATTGAAAAACAAAGTATTTCACATAAGTCTAGATGATAAATTAGTTTGTTAGTCACTAATACGGTCAATGAGTCAATGAGTGGCATCAGGCGTTCAGTCACCAACAGTCCACTGAGTCACTGAGAGGCATCAAGTGTTCAAGTCACTAACTAGGTTACTGAGTCACTGAAAGGCATCAGGTGTTCTAGTCACTATCTAGGTTTCTGAGTCACTGAGAGGCATCAGGTGTTCTAGTCACTATCTAGGTTTTCTGAGTCACTGAGAGGCATCAGATGTTCTAGTCACTATCTAGGTTTCTGAGTCACTGAGATGCATCAAGTGTTCTAGTCACTAACTAGGTTACTGAGTCACTGAGAGGCATCAGGTGTTTTAGTCACTATCTAGGTTTCTGAGTCACTGAGAGCCATCAGGTGTTCTAGTCACTAACTAGGTTACTGAGTCACTGAAAGCCATCAGGTGTTCTAGTCACTAACTAGGCAACTTCGTCATCTAGAGGCATCAGGTATTCCACTCACTTACTAAGTTTCTGGCTCACTGGGAGGCATTAGGGGTTCCACTCACTAACTAGGTTTTTGAGTCACTAAGTGCCATCAGGTGTTCCAGTCTTTACGGTAACTGGGTTGTTGAATGGCATCAGGTATTCCAGTCACTAGAAGGGTCAGTCAGTCGCTGCGTTTCAACAGGTGTTACACTCACTAACAGGCTGTGTATTTCTTGCACACCTTGCCTGATTCAATGTAAGAACTAAACAATTATACCATCACCTATAATTGGATGTTTCTTGGTTTTTATCAATCTGATTTATAAAATAAGAAATTTGCTGTCTCTGTAGTACATGTTAATTTCAGTTGGTAATTGTTATAAACAAATTAATTTAAGTGACTATTTTTAAATAAAACACAACAACAATTGATATTCACATGATAAAAACTAAAATAACAGAATCAAGAGTCAATTTGCATATTTCTTCTCATTTTATGTAAATTTTCCAAATATTTTTTAAGATTGTTTGAGAATCAGTGAGAAATTTATTCAAAATCATTTAAATTTTCACACAAATTTCATCTTGACAACAAAAACGATGCACATGAAAAGTGTTCTATATTTATAATAGGTCTGCTTTATAACCATTGTTCTTTACAAATTCTAAGATATTATCAACTTTCTTAACCTAGCTTCAATGAGCCAATGAGCCAAACTTCAAGAAAGATTGAGAATGAATTCAATGACAGACATGTCCACCAGCAGATCAACTCATACAAAAAAGTCAAAATATTGTAAACTTATATTATACTTTATTAGTAAAGTACTTTACTAAGCTTATACAATAGAGTACATTTATACAAATAGTACTACAGTAATAATAAAAGACTTAGGGATTATCATTGAGCTAATAAATACACAAATATATAACGGTTAGGGCTAAATGATTAAAAATATCAAATTATTGGTTTATTAAACCTCTAGATCTGTCTAGATCAAACTCTCAGTTTTAGCCGAAATTGCAGGAATCATAGACATCGGAATGAAAATTGGAATGGTGCAAATTGATGCTATCAGTGTCCCTCTTTACAATCCCTTTAAAGTGTACTCTTGAATGGTCTGTCCAAAAAAATGGACTAATAAACTGAGAAATTGAACTTTAATTGGACAGGGTCTAAGAATGAAGTTAAGATATGAGTATTGACCTCTCAGCTGACCCCCAGTATCAGTCCAGTCCAGTATAATATAGTATATTAGTATTTATATGATTGGCATTAGTAATAGTGACAAGACTAAATGTAAAGAAATCAGGTAGTTGACAGCTAAATCAATCATAAGTCAAACTGGTCCATTATTGTACTTAGTATTCATAATGATTGTTTACTTCATTTATAATACAAACAACAATAACACTACCTTGTCTGTAAATTACTTGGTTCAAGGAGTTGCTCACTGTGTAAACCTGAATCACGTACATCCTATAGACCTTATTGGCGCGTCGGCCATATTGAATCCAAAACAAGGTTCATAACGCAAACAAACAAGGGTAGCAGCGTGTCACTACTGACACTGTACGCAGTAAAATTGCCACCTTGAGGTCTTTTTTAAAGTTCTTTCTTCTATCTCACTTGCTATATTATAGTACATCATTAAAATCAGAATTGATTAAGTAAACCTTCACATATTTCTGAGAAAGGTCAGTTTTGAGCCTATTTTCTTGCTGTTGATTGGGTGATAGTGACGTTGCTATCTATTCAATAAATGATCTGTAATTTGCGTTATGAACCTCGCTTTCAGCGTCTCAAACACAAGGTGTGAATAAGGTCTATTCTAGATTAGGATTAAACGGTACCAAATCAGTGAAATCTAATCCAAATTAGATCACAATCTTATTTCTTTCTTTCAAAATTTTGTTCATCTTGTTCTTTGCATGGAACATGAAACATAAGCTTGTATAGATACCGAAATTTAGAAATTGGAAAGTTTCCCTCATTGCACACTGCATTAGTACCAGTATTCCGAAAGCAAAATGGTTCTTATTGCTAAAGTCTTTTCTTATTTTTAATCTTCTATTCTTTCCAGCTTATGTATGTACGCAAAATCTTGAAGAAAATCAGAACATAAACCTACAACTGGTAGAAAAGTATCCAACCTTCATTCCAGGTTATCACCCTTTATCATTTCAATATCTAGATGAAGAGGAACCTGACCTGAAGGTTATAAATGAAGGTTTCAACCAAGCGGAACTAATATATGATTAAATTGTAGGAAACCAAGTAACAAGATTTGATTGAAAATCTATAGATCTGAGTTCTCTACTCATATAGTTTCTATACAATATACAGTACAGCAATCAATACATATCATTCTTATAACTTATTCACAATGAACATTCAATAGAAGCTATAACAAACTAACAACACTACATGTTCACGTTTAGTACAGATTTTAAATCAGAGCTAAACAAATATTATCTTAAGGAGAACTTGTAAAAACTGTTAAAAAAGTCCTGAATCAAAATCAAAGCTAAACAAAGATTAGCTTAAAACAAAATTAGCTCAAGGAGAACGTGTAAAAGCGGTATAAAAAAGTTCCAATTCAAAATCAAAGCTAAACAAAGATTATCTTAAAACAAAATTAGCTCAAGGAGAACTTGTAAAAACGGTAAAAATAAGTCCCAATTCAAAATCAGAGCTAAACAAAGATTAGCTTTTAACGATTCAAAATCAGAGCTATACAAAGATTATCTTAAAACAAAATTAGCTTAAGAAGAACTTGTAAAAACGGTACAAAAAAGTCCCAATTCAAAATCAAAGCTAAACAAAGATTATCTTAAAACAAAATTAGCTTAAGGAGAACTTGTAAAAACGGTACAAAAAAGTCCCAATTCAAAATCAAAGCTAAACAAAGATTATCTTAAAACAAAATTAGCTCAAGGAGAACTTGTAAAAACGGTAAAAAAAAGTCCCGATTCAAAATCAGAGCTTAACAAAGATTAGCTTTTAACAATTCAAAATCAGAGCTATACAAAGATTATCTTAAAAGGAGAACTTGTAAAAAAAAAAAGTAACAAAAAGTCCAAATTAAAAATCAGAGCTAAACAAAGATTAGCTTAAAAGGAGAACTTGTAAAAAAAAAAGTAACAAAAAGTCCAAATTCAAAATCAGAGCTAAACAAAGATTAGCTTAAAAGGAGAACTTGTAAAAAAAAAAGTAACAAAAAGTCTAGATTCAAAATCAGAGCTAATCTTAAAATGTCTTTCGTATGGTTTTTTATGTGCATTATCTCATTATGGTTTCTATTAGCATCATTTCAAATTATAGAAATGCTTTTATGATGTCACAAAATTGCAAAAAGTTGCTAAAAAATTGTTTTTTCTGGAGACCATATTTATAGAAAAGTTGAAATTGAAATCTCTGAT